GGGGCCATTTTCAGAACATTTTCCAGGGAGTTTTCAGGCTGTTTTGGGGCCATTTTCACGACATTTTCCAGGGAGTTTTCAGGCTGTTTTACAGCTAACCCGGGGGCGGGCTTCTGGGGGTTCACAGGGGTTCAGGAGAGCCCCTAGCTAAGATTCTATGCAGTTCGAGAACTCCCCAAATCCCACTCCTGGCTGGCCCTGCCCACCTCACCCTGCCTCTTCCAGGTGTCCCCACACAGCCTGTTTTGGATGCAAGTAAGTACAGGGTATGTGTGGATGCTTGGGGAGGATGAAAAATGGGCCTCCCAGACGTTCTGGAAGGGTGGAAATGGGCCTGTTACTGGCTTCCAGAGAGCCTCCAGAGCCCGGGGAGGCTATTTTCGCCCTGCCAGAGGCTCAAGGAAAATGTCTAGTGCCTGGGGTGCATAAAAGCGCCTGCCCCATCATGGTGCAGGAGGCCGACTCAGCCACACCCGCTCAGCAACCAGGCAGAGAACCCTTGGCTAAAACTTTTGAAGGCCACCCCTGAGCTCATTCCACAGATGGTGAACCTTCTGATTTGGAGCCGCCACCTCATGTTTTGGTTCTGGTCTGATCTAGAATGGGCCGCCGTCTCCTGAAAAAAAAAAAAAACCCACAACCAAAGGAACCCCAGAAACATCCGAGAAGGCTTGATATTGTCATTTTAATTTATTTCAGGCAGTGAATTCCTAAAAGCAGCAGTTTCTAGCTTGCAAAATCTTCTGAGGAGATCTCCCCTCACTACAGGTAGAGAGGTAATCCCATCTAGCAAACCCATACTTTCCCTCCCCAAGCAATGAAAAATCAAAACACCAGCCCATTCGATCAATCACCCGCTGCTGCTCCTTTATTTCCATTCATCCATTGACCACTTCTCATTCTTTGGCATCTCTTATTCTTTGGATCCTGGAGGTCGGGTTCAAATGGGAGGAAGCAGGAGATGGCCTGAAAATGAGAGGAAAAAAAAACCACACACATTATTACTGCCTTTGGAGGACTCCCTGAATCATTTAAGTGTTGCAGATTAGTTGTTGCTTAAGGCCTAGGAAGGAATGCTGGAACTTCCGGTTTGAAGGGCTTCAGCGACAGACAGGAATCCGCGATCGTGCACGGTTTCTGCCTGGGCTCGCTGCTGGAGCGCCCCGAGCTAGCTGGTTTCGGGGCTAAGCCACCCCATTGAGGTGGCGAATAGGGGGGAGACCGCCAGCAGGGTCGAGAAGAGCCGCATCTCTCCTCCTCAGCTGGCCAAACTCCCTTTCCCAAAGGCGGTAGGAGCGGTGGTCAGAAATGGCTACCTCAAAGAAGTACTCAACCGGAAAAGCACGTGCAGGAGGAAGATAAGAAATGAAAGTTTTGGCTGACTGGGTCAAGTTGAAAAAGCAATAACTAAGGTACTCTGGAACTTAAATTTTACAAAAGATAACATCGCTCCCAAAGAAGAGTCGGAAGCAGCGAAAGAAAGTGAAAAGGGAAAGGTTTGGCTTTTTTTTTCTTCTCTCTCCTTCCTTACACTGACAGCTAAGAGACCTAAATAAGAAATCGGAAAAATCCACTTTGGCATCAATAGGCAATTAAGATGAAAATACAATTAAATGCCAAAGGGACAATAAAGATTTCTGGACATTAAAGCCTAGGAAGGAATGCTCTGAAGGGAAGAAGATTGTTTGCCAAAGAACTGGATCGGAGCCGACGTTACTTCAGTCACCACATGACATGACTGGTTCCAAAGCAAGACTGCAGGTAGTTGGGGAAGAAGTAGCATGCTCAATCCGAAAGCATCCTCTAATTACGTTTCCCTTTTTAGCGGAGGGTGAGGATGAGAAAATAAAACTTAAAAAGATGAAAGGAAAACAGAGAATGGTTATAAATGGCAGTAATCCTCAATTTACAACCATTCGTTTAGCAGCGAAAATTAGAGTAGCGCTGAAAAAGTGGTTTACAACCGGTTCTCGTACAACAGTTGCAGGATTCCTCAGCTCCACACAATTAAAATTTGTGTCCTTGGCAACCAGCATGTACTTACAATGTCTGTTTCTCTCTGGTACAATTATCCTTCCTTCATTTCCTCCCTCCCTCCCATTGCCTTCCTTTTTTCTTTCCTCCCTTCCTCTTCCTTCTTTTCCTCTCACCCTTCCTTTCCTCCCTCCCTCCCTCCCATTTCCTTCCTTCCTTCCTTTCCTCTTTCCCTCCCTTCCTTTGTCCCTCCACAGTTGTTAGAATGCAGTATTGCAGGTTCACTCTACCGACTGCTGACTGCCAGCAGTTCGATCCTGACCGGCTCAAGGTTGAGTCAGCCTGCCATCTTTCTGAGGTGGGTAAAATGGGGACCCAGATTGTTGGGGGCTGCCTCTGTAAACTACTTAGAGAGGGCTGTGAAGTGGTATATAAATCTGTGCTGTTGCTATTACTGTCCTTTCTTTTCCTTTCTTTTCTTTCCTCCGGTCCCTTCCCCTTCCTTCTCTCCCTCAGAGAATGGATGACATCAAGCCAAACCCAAACGGAGGACATAGCTATAGGTGCCCACCATATAACAGCCTCGGTGGCACAGTGGTTAGAGTGCTGTGCAGCAGACCACTTCTGCCTGCAATTTGGCCGTTCAAATCCCACCAGGTTCAGGGTTGACACAGCCTTCCATCCTTCCGAGGTGGGTAAAATGAGGATCCAGATTGCTGGGGGCAATAGGCTGACTCTGCAAACTGCTTAAGAGAGCACTATAAAGTGGTATATAAGTCTAAGTGCTATTGCTATTGCTATCTCCAGTGTGGTGAAAGCTACTCTCGCCGCTCTAGCTCTTTATTGAGGTCCAGTTCCCATCCACAAGTGTTTTCTTTGCCTCTTTCAGGAGTCGGCAATGGGCTGGCCCCGGTTGCCATTCCCACATGCTCAGCCTTGTTCCCTCGTGACTTACTTTGTCCATCTGGAACATGCTTTCTTGCCGGAGCCCAGTGGGCCTGTAAGCGTTGAAGGAGCCGGTCCTTCTCCTCTCCTTCTCGCAGAGCTTTCTGCCAAAAATAGAAGAGGAAGGTGAAGTTGAACCTGCGGCTAATAGGAGGAATATACCCAGGGATATCTGGGAAGGGGCAGAAGGTCAAAGAAGTCAAGATGGTGGCTATAGCCTTGCCATCAAAGCCCTCTCGTTTGTTTTTTTATGTGGGATGACATAACTGCCATCTTGATTATTTTTGACACCTGTGGAGTTCCCCAACTAAACCTTGCCCGCTGAAAAGGCACCACTTTGTTCCAAATGGAGACCGCTTCTGAACTTTGTGCTTGTAGTCGAAAAGAATGAAACTTTGATTTGGGGTTTTATCTATTAGATCAGGGGTCTCCAACCTTGGCAACTTTAAGACTTGTGGACTTCAACTCCCAGAGTTCCTTTGCTGGCTGAGGAACTCTGGAAGTTGAAGTCCACAAGTCTTAAAGAGACCCCTAGATTAGATTGATAGATCTTCATAGAAATGGCTTGTTCGTATTATTGTGACAAAACAAAAAGGTGTGATTTTATTTTACTGCAACAGAGAGAGTTGGAGGTCGATGTTTCTTTTTCTTTTTATCTTATCCTTCCTCACTTCTCTTCCTCCTTCTTCCTCCCCACTGTTAATAAATGACATTAATGTTAATAAATGAAATGTTAACCCGAAAAGGCGCCACTTTGGAGAAAACACTCCTGGTGAGTAATCCTGTATGAGAAGTTGCTACACACAGGGAATCCCCGTCTTACAACTGGTCAATTAGAGACCAAAGTACCATCCAGACAATACAGGTAGTCCTCAACTTCCAACTGTAAATTTTACTGACCATTCAACATTACAACAGCGGTGGAGAAAATTACGACTGGTCCTCACCTTTACAACTTACATCCCCAAACTCACGTGCTCAAAACTTGGGCCTTTAGTAATCTCGTAGTTACAATGTCTGAATGGTCATGTGATCACCAATTGTGAGCTTCCCAACAAGTCAAATCAATGGGAAAGGCCAAATTCAATTAGACAAGTGAGTTTGTTGTGATTTAGTTAAAAAAGCAGGTGGGGGGAGCGGAAGGTTGTACAATTGGGAGTGGCTCACTTAACAACCGCCTTGCTTGGCAGTAAGTGGTTGTTCAGTTGAGGACTACCTGTAATTTGGAGAAACGCAGAGTGTTCTGGACCCCAAATCTGGGAGTCCTCTTCCCGTCATTCAATTGTTTCCCAGATCTAGCGCAAATGCCTTGACGATTTTGATCACCTCCAGCGCATGTGCCTTTAGGTTCTCCATCTCTTGGAGTTCAGCCAATTTTGTGCAGTGTTCCTCTAGGAGAACAGCTCCTTGGCTTAGTTTGGCTTCAGCCTGGGCCAGCTGCCTGCGGAGTTGTGCGATTTCTTGGCCTCGCTCTTTGGCATCCTGAGATTGTTGACATAACTGCTCCTAAATAGACCCAGAGAAGCAGAAGGCATTTACTTCCACAGAGAAGGAGTACAATAAAAAAACATTTTGTCAGAGAGTTTTCAGCGTGACTACCAGTATGAAACAACCCAGGAGCAAAACACAGCACACAGAGACTTAAGACATTTAACAGTGGTTTATATACAATAGTTATATACAGACATATACCTGGTAGGAAAAATACCTTACAAGCCATCTTTGTCCTTCTTAACCCTGCAATGAATACTGGACATAGAGAGAGAGAACAAGCCCTCTAATGGCTGCCTTTATATAAGCACCTCTTAAAGGGGTAGAACCCATCCCTAGTCTTAAAGGGAAATACCCATGTTATGCTGATTCATTCTTATTGCATCAGCCACAGCTTCATTGCTGGTTGGCTCTTAAATCCCAAGGCCTTAACACATTTTAAGTTGCACTGGCCAATAGTTGCAGTGAGTGTACAAGTACAGGTAGACCTCGACTTACGACCACAGTGGAGGCCAAAATGTATGTTAGTTAAGGAAGCAACTTGCCCCATTTTACAACTAACCTTGCCACATTTGTTAAGTGAATCACTGCAGTTCTTAAATTAGTCACATGGTTGTTAAGTGAATCTGGCTGCCCCGTTGACTTTGCTTGTCAGAAGGCCCAGGACACTGCAACCATCATAAACAAGACCCAGTTGCCAAGCATCCGAATTTTGATCACATGACCATGAGGATGCTGCAATGGTCATAAGGGTGAAAAATGGCGGGAAGTCACCTTTTTCAGCGGTGTTGCAACTTTGAAATGAACTGTGGTACGTCGAGGATTACCTGTACTGCAGTTTTACACGTAAAGTAGATCTTGGGTGTTGAACTTGATTGCCTCATGGGCTGGATCAAGACGTATGGTGACTTTTTTTTTCCTTTGTGGAGCTAGGGTGGGCGTGGCCTGCGTGCAACGTATCCAGCCTCCAGGCCGCCAATTTGACAAGCCTGGGGTAGATTTAGCTCATCTGGTTTTAGTTCACTGAGCTGTTTTATCCCGTGAGGTTCACATCACTCATGCAAGTCAGAAACTACACTCCTCTTTACATCTTGAGAAACTAGGGAGGGTCCCTTCTGAGCAGAGGAGGGCTGATGGGGGTTCGCAGGAGTTCAGAAGAGCCCCTAGCTAAAATCTGTACGGTTCAGAGAACCCCCAAATCCTACTCCTGGCTGGCCCCACCTACCCCACCCCTCCTCTCCAAGGAGTCCCCACGCAGCCCGTTTTGGATGCATGTAAGTGCAGGACACGCATGGAGGCTTGGAAAGGGCGAGAAACGGGCCTCTCAGAAGAGTAGGCCAGAAATGGGCCTGTTTCTGGCTTCCAGAGAGCCTCCGGAGCCCAGGGAGACTGTTTACGCCCTCCCGGAGGCTTGAGGAAAGCCTCCGGAGCCTGGGGAGGGCAAGAACGCCCCTCCCACCATGGTGCAGGAGGACGACTAGGCCACACCCACCATGGCCACATCCATTCAGCAACTGGGCAGAGAACCCATTGCTAAAATTTTTGAAGCCCACCCCTGCTCCTGAGTCTCTTGCCCCGCCCACTATCCAGCTGCGGGCTATGCTGTCTCTTCTCTGACGATTCCCTTGACAAGAGTCTCTTTGCCAAGCCTCCCAAGGTCTTTCCCACACACCATCTCAAGCAGAGGTGGATATTCAGCAGGTTCTGACCAGTTCTGGAGAACTGGTAGCGGAAATTTTGAGTAGTTCAGAGAACCGGAAATACAATGTCTGACTGGAGATTTTACAGTATCCTTCCTCTGCCACGTCCACCAAGCCACGCCCACAGAACCGGTAGTAAAAAAAATTTGGATCCCACCACTGATCTCAAGATCAAAAACAAGATTGAAGAGAAAGGCCAACCCTTTTTTCGGGTTCCCAAATCACGGGATGCCCCCAGTCATACCTATCGTTACCTGGAGTTTGTGTTCTCGGGCACTGGCTGCCTCTTCTACCACCTGCAGCTGCCTTTGCCACTCGGCCTGGAGCCGTGTCTGCTCAGCCAAGGACTGGGCCAGCAAGTCTTCCTTCTCCTGGATCTGTTGGAGAAACGCTGGAGCCAAGTCGGAGCTGCTGAGGGAATTTGCAAGAGCCTAGAGCCAAGGCAGAGAGGCAAGAGAAGATCTATCAGAGTTATCCAATCTGGAAAGGGCCATATTCTACACGTAATGAGCCATTCTGGCAGAGTGGTTACAGTGCAGTACTGCAGGCTACTTCTGCTAGCTGACGGCTGCCCGCCATTTGGCAGTTCGAATCCCACCAGGCTCAAGGTGGACTTAGCCTTCTGTCCTTCCGAGGTCAGTAAAATGAGGACCCATGTTGTAACGACGAGGCAGTCGAGTTGTTTGATCATGAACAACTGAATCATGATGATCTTTATTGGATTCTAGTCTTGCATTTATACACATTTTTAGTTATCCTCCATCCCTGGTTAACTTTGGTTACTGCTTAACTTTGGTTACTGTTTAGCACAGGAATTAATTATCTCTAGTTAAATATGTTTACTTCCTCTCTCTAATCCTCCTTTAGATTAGTGACTTTGTTTACCTGAGTTGTATTTGCTTGGAAACATTCTTTATCTGAGGTTTGCCATCCGAGACTGGAACATTCCTGCAATTACAACTCTACAGACCCAGATTGTTGTGGGGGACAATAAGCTGCCTTGTCAGAGTATATTCATGAACTGGAATAGAGCTTGGTAACAAGGTCAGCCAATGCATAGGCATAGCAACTAAGCCAGCCAATGAGGACTGTTTGGAAACTGAAACTAGAAGTAGCCTAGGCGTGGCTCTATATTAAGCGCTGCAGCTCTGAAGCTATGTTAAGCTCTGAGTCTGTCTACTGAAGATGAAACTGCTTCTCCTCTGCTGTGTGTCTTGCTTGCCTGCTGAACTAAAGTGAAACTGATGTCTGTTTCCGAGCTCCTGAGTTGCTGTCCTGCTCTGAACCTGCAACATGTCTGCTTCTGTTTGAGTTGGCTCCATGTTGGAGAAATTTACAACTGGTATTGTAAAATTTACTTTATAGTTTATAAAGAAGTTAAATGAAGCCTCAGCCATCTGTGTTTACTTTTGTGGAGTTGAATTTACGTTGCGATACTCCGAACATGCCTCTGTAAACTGCTGAGAGGGGGCTGTAAAGCGCTGCGAAGTAGTTTGTAAGTGCTATGATTATTGTTATAATATATCTAAAAATGTTGGAGGATGCAGGCAGGGTAGTGGGGATGGTGCTGGATTAGGAGCAGGGAGGCCTAGATCCTGACTGTCTCTAAACCACATAGTTTCCCTGGACTACTCTGGACCAGTCCCCCTCTTTCAGCCCAACAACCATTGTAGGATGGGGGGGGGGGGGAAAGGTTCTGGGCCAGGAGAAGAGAGACCCAGGTTCTAATCACCCTTCAGACATGGAAGATGCATGGAACCCTATTTCCACCCAACCTAAACAGATCAGGCATCCAGGCCTTGCTTATCAACAGAAACCGAGTGGAGCAAGTGGCCAATTTTAAGTTTCTGGGTGTTACCCTAAAAGAGGACCTGACCTGGCGTGCTCACATTGCAGCCCTGGTCAAAAGGGGCCCAGCAGAGATTATACTACCCGAGACTTCTCAGGAAACAATAACTCAATGAAAAACTGCTGGTCACCTTCTACCGCTGCACCATAGAGAGTATCTTAAGTTACTGCACCTCTGTATGTTTTCCCAATTGCACAGTGGCAGATAGGAAAGCACTCCAGAGGGTTAACGTCAGTGCCCAGAGGATCATTAGTTGCCCTCTTCCCTCTTTGGAAGAGCTTTATAGCTCCTGCTGCCCTAAGAAAGTTCAAAACATTCTCAAAGATCCATCTCATCCTGAGCAACCTTTTTTTGAACTATTGCCATCTGGCAGACGGTACAGGACAATAAAAACAAGGGCAAATAGGCCGCAAAACAACTTCTATCCCAGGGCAGTAATTATATTGAATTCTACTGTAGCGTGCAGGGTTGGTGTGGTGTTGGGGGTTTTCGGTTCAATGTGTGGAGGGTGAAGGATGTGTGTTTGTGTTTATTTTCATGAGCAGGATGCGCACTGAAGACGGTGTTTGATTTCGTTGTACGAAATGCAATGACGATAAAGTAAACTAAACTACCTCAGAAGATTATGGTTGTGTAGAAAAATAAGAGGAAGAGCACCATTAGGGTGCCTCAAGGTACTCAATAAAAGGCGGGTATACAAATACAAGTAGTCCTTAACTTACGACCACAATTGAGCCCAAAATTTCTGTTGTTAAGTGAGACAGTTGTTAAGAGAGCTTTGCCCCATTTTACGGCCTTTCTTGCCAACATTGTTAAGCGAATCGCTACAGTTGTTAAATTGGTTAATATGAAGCTAGTAACATGGTTGCTTAAGTGAATCTGGCTTCCTCATTGACTTTGTTAAAAGGGTCACAAAAGGGGATCCCGTGACCCCCCCCACGTGACACTGCAATCGTCATAAATGTGAGTCAATTGCCACACGTCTGAATTTTGACCACAGGGATGCTGTAGCAGTCGCAAGTGTGAAAAATGGTCCTAAGTCTCTTTTTTCAGTGCTGTTGTAACTTCCAACGGTCACTAAGTGAACAGTTGTGAGTCGAGGACTACCTGCACAACGTATCGAGAAATACAATCTGAATTTGGTAGGGCTACCTCCACATCCTTGGTGCTACTGGTCAAAGCTTCCTGGAGTGCTTTAATTAAGGTTTCCTTCTCTTTCAAAGCGAAGACCAAGGTTTGGCCCTGCAGTTGCCAGAACTCCTGAGTTGAGGCACAGAGGGACTCCAGGCGATGGATTTCCCGCTCTTTCTGGTTCAAAAGCTCCCTCAGAGCCTGGGACAGAAGAAGAAGAAGGACCAGAGAAGGTCAAAAGCCTCCAGACAACCCAACGGCTGCAAATTCCCATCTGTCCCAAACCTCCCTTTTTGATATTCATTCGAGATTTTACACCATTTGAGATTCCTCCAACCTTGGAAAAAATCGAACAATCTTCCACCACATTGTCTATATTACTGGATCCCTCCCGGCTTGACCCCCAGATCTGGCCATTCATACATGCATGGTCTCCTCTTCCGTACGGAGGCTGGTGCTGAGTCGTGCCAAGTCAGCATCTTTATCTTTCAGTGCTTCCTGAAGGTGTCTTAACTGACGGTGCACAGACTCCAGGGCCAAGAAATGGCTGGACTGAGTCTTCTGTGGCAGTCAAAGCAAAAAGAGAGAATTAGGAGTTATTTTTGATGATAGATAGATAGATAGATAGATAGATAGATAGATAGATAGATAGAT